CCTCCGGGCAGGGGTGGGGGAGGTGGTGGAAGTCCCGATGCCGGCAGAGGTGGTGCTGGGGGTGGGACTGGCATTCCCAGACCAGGCAGAGGAGGAGGTGGGGGAGGGACACCAGTTCCAGGTAAAGGTGGTGGTGGAGGGGGTGGCAGGATGCCCCAACTGGGCAGAGGGGGTGCGACCCCTGCTCCTGGCAAAGGTGGTGGTAGAGGTGGTAGTGTGCCTCCAGCACATGGGAGAGGAGGAGCTGGAGGCAGCATTGCTATCTCCCCACTTGGCAAAAGTGCTGGAGGAGGAGGAGGAGGAGGTGGGGGATGTGACAGAGACAGAGATTCGTCCAGGTGTGGCACTGCTGTGCCAGCAGGAGAGATTCCTGAGCCAGGCAGGGGTGATGGGGGTGGTGCCATGGATGTGGAAGTGGCAAGGGAATGGCCATGTGCTCCAGAGAGGGGAGCAGCTGGTTCGGTGGCTGGCAGTGATGGGGGAATGCTACATGTGGGTTCCAATGGCAAAGGTGGATGTTCACTACCAGTCACATCTACTGTACTTAGAGACTGATGAGAAGCTGATCTTTCAGTCTCTCCTTTAAATGTAAGGGACAAATTGATGTCAGGTCCTGGAAGAGGTGACTGTGGCATACTCTGTACTAATTGGCTTGCGTCCAGTGGCATTGAGATGAGCTTCGGTGACAGAATTAAGGAAATTTCAGAACAAAACATGGGCTGCAGTTCTAGAGCTGGCAATTTCTGAGTTGGCTCTTCCGCTTTTCCCCCTTCTAAGTGCGGTGGGGGAGGTGGCTGTGGCAGTGCATTGGCTGAAGGCATTGTGTGTGTGAAATAATCCTCTGTTGGTGACGTTTGTACAGATCTTGCTTGTGACACAGTTCTGGGTGCAGTCTCTTCTTTGTCTGTTTGAAGAGTCATGCTGCTGAGTTCCCCACAGACCACATGCGTGTGCTCATTTTCCTCCTTCCTCCCAGCAGTCTGTACCTCTGCAGCAGGGAACTGTTTCTCTAGTTCTGCAATTTTGGTCCTCAGATCCTCAATAGTTTGCTCAAGTTGTTGGATGACACTAGCACGCTCCTCATATTTCACTTCAAAATCGTCCTTTGAAAGAAAAGAAATAATAAGCACAAACCAGGCAACATTCATCACTCTGTAAAAAATTAACTTTAGATCAAGAATATTTGTCTTCCAGAGGTTTAGAAATAAGACAATTATGACTAGACTTTATAAACAGAGGTATCATTCTAGATAGCTGCATCTTACAGTGGGAGAAGACAGCTTAGGAAAATTAGTTTCTTTGCTGTGAAACTGCCTTCATGAGTACAACCATGTTTTAGACTGTGATTATATTTGGCAAAACCAACAATCAGCAGCAACCCCCACCTCCCTCCCAATGCCCTGACCAAGAAAACAATCCACTGAGCACAAGTACAGCAAGCACTTGTGTACACATGGATACTCAGACATGGCAGAGGGTACATCAGTTGACTTTAACATATTTTCAGTTAACAGAATTAAGTGTTTCTTCAAAGGGATGCACTCTGCCTAACAGGCTCAACATACTACTGACTGCTGGGTTTCAATATACTTCTTAACGATACAATGCAGATTCGGAATGCAGAACATAACAAAAGTTCACTTTTCAAAAACAGCTAATTTCAGAACTCAGTAATTATGCTTTTCTCCAGTCAGCATGCTTAGGAAGGAAAAGACGACAAAAATAAGAGACAATTTTCCTCCCACCCAAAATTTCAAACTCCTCTGTCAAGTGACAAACTGTGAATGAGTAACCTTGGAAAAGCTTCCTGTCTGAAATGGTTATTTTGTATTTCACAATTTCCACATTTTTTATACCTTTATCTAAAGCATCTGATCCTGCCTGCTGTATATTGGGTAGAAGAACCATTAACCCTAAATGGCACAGCAAGTCATATGCTTTTCAATAAATATTGATAACAAACTGTACTAAGTTTAATGGATACATGTTTCTATCACAAACTACCAGAAGAAGCAACCTAGTCTGAAAATAACCGTTTGTGCTAATTCAGGAAAGCTGAACAGGAAATAGAACAGACATGACTTTACAACAAAACACCTTTTAATAATGAATGTACTATCTTCTAGGTGCATGCATTTACTTTTCAGTACTTTTTTTTTTTTTTTCTTTAAAGTTCCAATACTTCAGGCATTGAATTGAGCTGTATTGATTTGCATTGAATTGATCAAGTTGAATTAAGCTTGTCAAACAACAGGTTTTCCAAGTGTTTAGAGCAAAACAGTGCCTTTTTTTCCTTTTTATAAAATCTTAAGCTTCATGGATGAGTCTGTAGACTTACTTCATTGGATATCTTTCAAATATTCGGATTTTACATGTCTTTATTTTATATTTATATTATGTAGGCTTTACAACATACAATACTCAATATACTAATTGCTGTGATTTGTTTCAGGAACACGATATTTTTCATCTCATCCTTTGAAACATTTAGAAGACATTTTCCTTTCTGGAAAATGAAGTTTAACTTCTAGATAGGAACCATTAATAAAATATATGTTCATTAATACTTAAATTGTTTCTGCACAGTCTTGGTTTTCAAACATAAAATTTCAGTTTCATGTTTATCTTAGTTTCCCAGCTGCCCTAAAGCCATTTCGGAAGTAAACCAGCAACTACAACATTTAAACCAAATATTGTTTGATTTTGAAACACATTTGTCAAAATTGAGAAAAAAGGATCAAAATAGTTTTTCAACAATTAGTGAAGCAATGAACACAGGAGATGTGCTAACAAACATGTAAAGGAAAAATGGCTGGAAAAGACATTTCCATTAGACTGCCCATGGTGTTTCAAACCACTCAGCTTCCTTTAATGACTCAGTACTTTGTAGCAGCAAAAATTTTGTTGAAGAATTTCATTATAAAGGAGAAAGAGAATATTCTATTGTCCCTTTGTTTCATCTGCTCTTGTCACCCTACCAGTCACCTGCAAATACAATAAGGCCTATCAACTCTTCAAAAGGAAACATTATCAAAGGAACTGTGATTATTAGGCCAACACACCAGTTTTCAGTTATTTGAGAATAAATCTAGTTTCCCCAGACCATAACTTTCCTAAGATCCCATTTTACACTCTACCAAGGGTTTTATGATAGACAGAGCTTCCCAGTTCTATCTGAATCGGAAAATTCATTCCTGCCCCAAAGAAACTGAAGCGAACAGGATTAGACACATTACTAAACGGTTCTGAAGAGATTTACTTTAATGATGGCTTATCTCAGAACAGCTAACTGTTTTAAAAACTCATTGATCCTCAGGAGATTGGATTCAATTTTTCACAAGAAAATGAGGCAATCCTTGAATACTGACATTCTACCTAAAGTACAGGAAAAACCTAGAATTCACTGTCTTACAAGAGAACTTCCCCTGCACACCATGAAAATTCATTCAAGAGAAGAAGTATTTTTAAAAGTTTTTTAAAAATTGGCAATACAATGAGATGATTAAGGAATTCAGGTAAGGGGAAAAAAAAAAAGTGTTGATAAATGAAAGAGATTCCATCCCATATGGAACAATTTTTCTGCTGTCCTTGAGACATGGCATTTCAAACAGCCTGGTGATTTCTTATCGTGTTGTTACATAATAATCAACAACATGTCCAGGTTTTTCTCAGAAACAGCATATAGTAAACAAACAAGACTTTGCTATGAATGCAGAGATATTTATCCAGAGGAAATTACATACTTTAAACTTATTTAGTTTAAAAAACAAACTTAACCAAATCAAGGCCCCACTATTTATATGCTTCAGTAATTATTTTAGATAGATTTATTTTTTATTTTGACGTTTAAGATGCCCACAGAAGAGTTTAATTAAATTTCTATCTTTCTGCTAGCAAGAAGCTTAGAATCTTCCTCTAGATCAGAAATTGCTGTGTCAAACAAATACAAGGCATAGCATGTTTCCACTATCCTCTATAAGGAAGGTAATCTAAAATATATAGAAGTCCAATCAGAAATGAAAATTAGACTGTTTTCTTAGAAGAATAAGCATGGAAAGTCTTAACTTTCCATATATGCAAACGATGGTCAAAAAGCTATTAACAAGAACCAGAAGATCCAGAACAGAAAAAACCCCAACACATATAATGAAAAGAACGTTCATTTTTAATCCAAATGACAATTCCACAGCAGAAACCTACAGGGTTTAAAAGAGATATGAGGGAACTCTCTCTTGCCTAGAGTTCTCACCCAGGACCCAGGTACTGTGGAACAGTCTTCTTTCTGTAAAGAAAGAAAGAAAGAAAGAGAGGTAGAAGCTTAAGCCTTGCTTTATTCCAGGTGACTTTCACTGTGTGAAAGATGTGAGCAGGAAAAATAATTCCAGAGGTGCATGGCTACAGAATAGTGTCTAGCATTTCTCAAACAGGTTATGCATATTCCATGTGCAATGAGTTGGATGATCCATCTGGGACTGCTGGCCTCACTGATAGGAAGACTTCTGTTGTTTAATATACAGTGGGAATACTAGATTTACTGGGTAAAGGTTGTACACTTGGGTTTGCAAATGTACCAAAAGCCCATACATCGCATCCAATTTATTCCACTCTTTTCATATTTTCACATGTGCACATCAGATGTCCAGCATAAAGCTGGTGTACAGAACGAACACTCCCAGGATCTTTAAACATGTAAAAGCTCAGAGTGCAGCTACCTCCTCTACAGAGTCTGACATCCTAGTTTCCCAGATGAGTTGTAGGAAGGTCTGTAATCACTAAATTCCCATGCAGAAAATTCCCACACATCTATAAAATTTACTCCTAGTCTATATGTGTGTGTAATATCAAAAAATAAAGACATATTACAGTTCAGTTTCAGAATTTTATGTCTTATACTATTACAAGCCTACAAGTTGCATTAGAAGTCTGATCATTTTCAGTAGTTCGTCACTTAGTGTCATGAAATTTCCTATCTGGGTAGAATTAATTTTTAGATGGTAGGATTGTACTTTTTTTTAAAAGAAAAAAAATTAAAAATTAACCTTTTAGCTTCTCTACATCAGAATTCATGAATCAGAGCCTATGCTGCTACCTGATTGCAAACACGCACAGGGAATATAAGCACACAGTTAAACAGCATTAAGATGGCAAAATAAGACCCTTCAGGTCTTCCAGTAAGTCAACACCTGGTAGCACTAACAGTGTCCAACAAATGGGAAAGATACTCTTTCCAACTATTCTGTTACTAAATACCTCTTTTCTACATGAAGCAAATTTTTTTGAACGTGCACGCTCACCAAATGGCACAAAGTACTGCCAGTAGTTAGTATTTAATTCAGAGAAATGTGATCTCTATTCAGGTTTCTCTCTTTAAAGCTGTCTCATTTTCAAAGCTACTTCTTGCAACTGCAGATCAACCTTAAGAAAAGGAGAGACAACATTTTAAAAGGCATTTTTAGTGCTACAGTGACTGTCAAATGAGAAGTAGTGATGGGCATTTGATTTGCATTCAAATAAAATAGCATCCATCCAATTAATTCTCAATTTCTTTAATCCTCAATGCCCATTGCAGCTTTTTAGTTTTACAGCAGAAGTTGAGTCAAAAGCTAAGGAAGATCTGCTGAAGAAGCAGAATCAGCATTGGATACGAGTTTCTTCCTCAGACTACAAAATCAAGGCTTTTTTGAGAAGCTTTTCTTGTACATAATGTGCATTTATGGGGACAAAGGATATACATTTTCACAATACTCCACATTTCTTCCTTCAACCACAAGACAATGTTGCACAGCTCCCCAAGACAGCACTGAACATGCAAGTCCTGAACTACTAATGGTGCAATGCACTGCCCTGCCTGAAGTGGGAGATTTTATTTGGTGAGATAATCTCCCACTCAGTGACACACTGCAGCAGACAGATTACACCAGCCTGGACTGTGCTAGCATTGGGACAATTTAGCTCTTCCTAAGCTAAAGATCTAGGACATGTCCAATTAACCGAGATTTTTCATACCCTATCATGGATGACAAAAAAAAAAAAAATACACACAGAAAACAATTATTGTCATTCAAATACTTCAAATAAACAGGATCAGCAGGGAGCATGGACC